TTTTAGCTTTAACCCGACTTTAGAGAGGTTGTATTTTTATAGCTACTAAACACGGGATTAACAGTCAGCGCTCAGCAGCTTTTCCTGTGGGATGGATGGAGATAGTTTTTTCTTATCCAGCATTCTTGACTCATTTCGAAACCAAGCGTGATCGGGCTGAACAGGAGAAACAGACTCAATCTACCAAGTTTATCTCTAATTAACACGGATTAACTGAGCTTTAACTTCGCTCTGCAAGCCAAGCAGAAGGATGATTTCTGCATGGAATGCTAATATTGCCCCAAGGCTGTTGATCATCTCTTTTAAGGGCTCAAGGTCCCAAAACCCTCAATCATGCGACTATAATAGGCTTCATTTTTGCTGTGTTGTTTTCTTAATGAATTATACAATATGCTTGTATAATTTTTTTCACCTTAATTTTCAGGAAATAGAAATCTAGAACCTTTGTTTATGTGTATTTTACTGCATGCTTCATCACGTAATCAGATATTTGTGTAAAATGTTCTGGTTGAAGTTTTTTAACTGTATCCATGGCACTTCCTGGGAAAGTATTCTGTTACAATATTTGACATGTTTGCCTTTTTTAAGATCCTCTCAAATATGGATGAGGCAAAGAGCTATGCTGCCTCTTCCCACTTAACTGTACCCCATACGATTACCAACAGATGGTAATTTAAAAAAGATGGGCTAATTACAAGCTGTAAATCTGGGCTAACTTGTTTTTTATTGTAAACCACCAGTACTTTATTGATTTCTGACATTTTTATATTTAAAGTTAGATTTACTGTAACTGAACTCCTGGCTAAAGTTCACCTTGCTGGTTTGTATGTGATAGACCAATACAAAGAGGTTCCTAGATTGGAAGTAGAGGGAAAATCCAACATGTTTTTAGAGGATTTTCACAAATCAGAAAGGAATGTTGTGCTTTAGGTTTTACTGCCAAAGTCAATACTTTGTTGAATCATATTTTGCTGCAAAAATCCAAAATAGGACAGATTTCCCCTAGCTTTGAACATCTACAGAATCAAATCTTTACATACTCCCTTTCGCAAAATAACCATAGATCAGATGAACATCCTATGTGAATGTTAGTTTAATAGACTGACCACAGATCCTCCATATCTGGGCTTTGATTAGGCCATAACAACAGTTGAATATGCTTTGATTTGAACCTTTCCATTACATCTCTAACTGCTTGTTTAGCCCAATTGTAGTACTGCTGGATTGAAACTCCAAACTAGTCTTTTGAATCCTTTATCAGGTTTTCTTCCAGGACCATTTAGCTCTGTCCAACTTGGCTGTCCTGTACCCCTGTAAAAGAAACAAATCCCTTCTGCATGATGCTGCTACCGTCTTTCATGGGGGTAATTTTGCTCTCTCAGTAATGGGAAGAGAGCATTCTCTACCACACAGGGTGTCTCTGGTTTGTTTCTTGGTCTTCATTGTGCCTTTGTAGCATAATTAACAGTTGTCTAGCTTCTGTGGCCTTCTCAGAAATGTTGTATTTATACTAAGATTGTACAGCTGTTAAAGTTGATATAAGGGTTTCAGAATAAACAGAGCAACATGCCACCTTTTCAGATATTAACAAAAAAGGAATAAATAAAAAATGTTATTTTTTCACCTATTTATTAAAGTAAGAAACTGTAGCTACTGTTAACTTCAGGTTTAAAATATACATTTCATAGAAAAACAAGTCACTTTAGCTAAACAAATGTTATCATTAAGTTACTGAATTAGAATGAGTAAAACCGCATTACAGAAACTGAAAGTCTTTAATTACAGTCTCCTAATTGCTCAGCAACTATTGTTTTTGCATATATGAAACAATTTGGACTAAATTTTGATGTATTTTTTTTATTTAAATAACTTCTAATGCTTTTTTTTTAACCTTTTATAACATTTTAACTTTTTTGTTTTTTTGGAACACCAATACCAGACTCTGATGCACTTCAGAGCTCAATGAACAACTACTGCACCAAGCATGTAACAGATTCACACACTGGATGAACACACATTATGGACCATTTAATATTTCCCCAGTTTATTGTTTTCCTTCACTTCCCATCCAAAACTGCTATGTTCATCCACAATTCAAATAAAAATACAGAAATCCTTATTTTTATGTTTAAAGGGTGTTGACGATTGGTCAGTTAAGAGAGCAGGTGTCTTACAACAAGCACCAGAAGCACAGTGAAGCTTTTTAGTGTGAGAAAAAATCACATCATGTGCAGTGATCAGTGCTTGGGGGCCCTATCAAACAGTATGAAAACCTTTCCTGAGAGAAAGAGTAAAAACTGTTTCTGAGGTACCGTTTATTGGCTGATTGCACAAAGATCAGGTTGTAATCTAAATCCTTAAACTACCTTGTTGAAATATGTGCTTCCTGAGCTTCCAGGGTGTGCACACTTGGATAAATGTCATCACAACTAGTTAATCTCAGTTACAACTTAATATACACTTAACGTGAGCAAAATGCAGAAGTTACAGAGTCATGTATTGAAATTGAATGCTATTATTCCAGTCTCATTTATTTTAGGCTATGTTAAGCTTTGTTTTTGCAGTGGTAGCCACTCACCAGATTAAGATTGTGTATATCCCCATAGCTCGCATTCAAATACATGAGGACTATAATTGAGTTTTATAATAATTTTAATGTTTTCTTGTTTAAATAGCACCTTTGCCAACACGATACATAACTGAAACTATCTGACCTCCGGATCTACAATTAAGTCAAGTATTATTATGTCTTTGGAATTTGAATATCTTTATTTAGGGCATATAGAAGCTGTAGGGATAATTAGTTGTTAAATAATTAGAAGTCATACATGGCCAGTCGGGGTCCACTTTGCATGACATGCAAGAAGACTAATAAATAACCTGAGCTATGATTGCTTGACTCTGCCAGCTCCAATTAAAGCCAAATCATCTCTGGTGTTTTTAGAGTTTCTGCCTCATAGGTCAAAAATTTTCAGATTTTCAGAATCTGTAAATATTGTACCTTTTTTATGCGTTATACTTGTTTTAAATCATGAAGTCTTGTTTTTCTTGGTAATAAACCTAAGGAGCTTGCTAATAAACAACAACTGACCTCTAGAAGTTTGTTTTGATGTTACAGCAGAAAAAATAACTAAAACAAAAAATAACAATTAATTAATAGATATAAATGTCAGACATTCATCCTGAAAGTATTTTATTCTCGCAGTAATTAAACAGATGGAACCCTGAACTTTCACTCGTGAAACAATTATTGTTTTCCATGTTTTGAAGTCACAACATAATTGAATCCATTTGTAGTTATTATCAACAGACCTTTAGAAAGGAAATTAAAAATGCATATCTTAAAAGCATGATGTTTACAATAATATCCTCCTACATAAAATGAGTCCTTTCATGCAGAAAACACAAATTAGATCTAAAGACTGCGACTACTGACTTCCATTATCTTCATTAAATGTCATTTGGCAGCGCCTCTTTTTGTAGCATCAATGTTAGTCAGTTAATGCCATTGTCAGTTAATGTGGTTTGAATGAGGATAAGATGAAGGTGGTCTTCTTGCACTCCCAGAGATTATCGAAGAGCTCCTTATTGCTTACCATGGCATAAGGTGCACAAATTTGGTTTGTCATAATCATAAACATCTTGGTTTTACTGTATATTGGATTAAATGCTTTCCTTTAAAAGCACATAGCAATTTTTTTTAAGAATACTGAGATTGAAGATTGTTTTCTTATCACTTTGTATCCTGTTTTTCTAGAAGAAAATTGGTATTAGCAACCTTCTAACAATTCCTGGATTATGGAACTGTTTTATAAATGAATGCTTCAACCAAATGTCTTTTTAAATACTGTTTATCACTGTGCCTTAGGATTTGTTACAGGCAGCAGATTCCTTACACATCATTGGGATTTTTATGCAAAACTCACAAGCAAACAAACATTGTGTAAAGACAATATGTATTGATTTTTAATAGAATAAAAAGCGCTGCACAGAGCTCTTAACGACTAAAACCCTGGGAAGTTTTGCACAAGATGACTGTTATTATTGAATTATTGTTTGTTTCCCCTTGTCTGAGTCTCATGAGGAAAACGTCTCCTCTGCCTGGCCACCGTCAGTCAAATCTTTAAGATTGTTCAATCAGCATCAAGCAGCTAGATTCATGAGCTGCCCCCAGGCCGCCCCAATCCCTTCATTGTCCCACAATGGGGAAATTCACTCTCTGAATTTAACCCATCCACTTGGGGAGCAGTGGTCTGCCATTGTGTGGTGCCCGGAGAGCAGTGTGGGGTTAAGAGTTTTGCTCAAGAACTCAGAGTGAACCTTCTCAGAGCACAAGCGCACTGCTCTAACCATTAGGCCAACACTCCTACTATATAGTAACCTTCAAAGGAAGTGAACGATTTCTATGTTTTATTAATTAGGGCCCTACTTTCATTGTGAGCATCAAAATATGGATCCTCAAGTCCCAATGAGAGTTTCTTATAAAAACTAACAAAGCGGAGGGGGAACTGAGTCCGAGAGCAGGTTAAGCAGCTGATTTCTGCCTAACAGACTCAAATAATCAAGTTCAATTTAGCGTGCATTTAATTCTGTTCAATGACTACATCTTTGAAGTTTAACAGCTCATATTTGACCAATAATTCATGACATTTACAGGGAAGGTTTAGGATCCCTAACACTCAAAAAGAAACACCATTGAAAATAAAACATCTTACTTTGTGATTAGATTTAAAATGTTATAAATTAATGCAAAACCAGGGGCTCTTTTTATTCAGTTGGTGTGGAGATTTTAAATTGTTTACCAGATTTAAACTGAAAGACAGAGATTAGATATTTATCTACTACAGCCTCCCACTGTTAAGCAACCAAGTACTGGTGAAGCAGATAAAGTATTTTTTAGATTATTTACAAAAATATTTTACAGGAATGCAGGTTTTTTTTCCACCATGAGTCACTATCTGATTGCCTGTTTCTCATTTTTTTCTTCTTCTTTTTTTCAGAACCGTGACAGAATGGTGGACTGTATGAACAGAGTCATGCTGCACACGGTCGTCTCATGTTGGCAGCCATTTCTTGGACTGGCACTTATGGCTGCCTTTGTCAGCTCTACCTTGGGATGTCCCTCACGCTGTGAGTGCTCAGCACAGACCAAGGCAGTTGTCTGTCACCGCAAGCGAATGCCCACCATCCCAGATGGCATCCCAACAGAGACCAGGATCTTGGATCTGAGTAAAAATAAGCTCACAATGATCAACCCTGATGACTTTATTGCCTTCCCTGGGCTGGAGGAGCTTGACCTCAGTGGAAATCTTATCAGCTATGTTGAGCCTGGAGCTTTTAATGCCTTGTTTAACATGCACTCACTCAGTCTTAAGAGTAATCGAATCAAGCTCCTCCCTTTGGGTGTTTTCACAGCCCTAACTAATCTTACTCAACTTGATATAAGTGACAATAAAATTGTCGTCCTTTTGGATTATATGTTCCAGGATTTGCATAATCTGAGGGCTTTGGAAGTAGGTGATAATGAACTGGTCTATATCTCTCACCGTGCATTCAGTGGACTCTTAAGCTTGGAGGAGTTAACACTAGAACGATGCAACCTTACTGTTGTACCAACTGAGGCCCTCTCACATCTGCACAACCTAGTCAGCCTTCATCTCCGTTACCTCAGCATTAGCACTTTGCATCCGTACTCATTCAATAAGCTTTTCCGGCTTCGGCATTTGGAAATTGATAACTGTCCATCTTTAGACCACGTGCCCGCTAATACCCTTCATGGCCTAAACCTGACAACATTGTTCATAACCAACACCAACTTATCCTCTTTTCCTTACCAAGCCCTTAAGCATCTGCCCTACCTGACCCACCTCAACTTGTCCTACAACCGTATCAGGCACATAGAAGGAGGGATGCTGATGCAGCTGGTACGTCTGCGTGAGTTACATCTAGTTGGAGCTCAGCTTACTGCCATTGAACCATACGCTTTTCAAGGTCTTCGTGGACTCAAAGTCCTCAATGTCTCTCACAACCGCCTGGACACCTTGGAAAAGGGAGTATTTCAGTCTCCCGAAGCTCTTGAAGTTCTACTGATTGATAACAACCCCTTGGTGTGTGACTGTCGTCTTATGTGGATTCTGCAGAAAAAGCACTCTATCTTTTTTGGAGACTCACAGCCGGAATGCAGCACACCTGAGGGGATTCGTGGAAGGCCTTTTAAGGAGTTTAAGGAAGCTCTCCTGTCCTATTATGTAACATGCACCAAGCCAAAAATTCGAGAGAATAAAACCCAAACAATTACTGTTGATGAGGGCCAGCAGGCAATGCTTCGCTGCAGTGCTGAAGGGACACCAAGGCCAACTGTGTCATGGCTGTCCCCACGTCGACGAGTATTGACAAGTCGGAATCATGGAAGACTTATGGTCCATAACAATGGCACATTAGAGATTAAGTCTGCTGAGATACAAGACAGTGGAGTGTACATTTGCCTGGCCTCCAACACTGCTGGGAATGACACACTTATGGCTTCATTAGCGGTGAAAAGTCTGGGATCCCTGTATGCCAACAGGACCCAGCATTATACAGACCCCAACAATGCCACTGCAAACGAAACAGCCAACATTTCCCTTGGTTTGGACCTGAAGACTATTTTAGTATCCACAGCTATGGGTTGTTTCACCTTTTTGGGAGTCGTTTTGTTTTGCTTCCTGCTCCTTTTTGTGTGGAGCAGAGGAAAAGGAAAACATAAAAACAACATTGATGTTGAGTATGTACCTCGGTCAAAGTCCAATGGTACTAATGTTGATTCAGCAGAGGGACAAGCTGGTCCTCGTCGTTTTAACATGAAAATGATGTAACTTAAATATACGTATAAATAGAGAGAGAGACACAGAGGATGACTGGATTATGGAAATGCCTGAAGTATAAAGTATTTTTTTGAAAATAGGATGACTGAAAAAGGTTGTGAAATGTTTAATGGTACCTAAGATAATGGGACATGCCATGAATCACTGGATTGTAAAATAATACCAGGATACCATGTTTCAGCTATGAAAAGCACATCACAAGTCTTACATAACTGCCAGCTGGGAACTTCTAAAATGAGGCATGGAAGCAGTTGTCGCCATGAGGACCTAAAGGCAAAAGGTGTCATGTATTAACTTTTTGAAATTTGTATGTAAAAAAAAAAGAAGCCCTTGCTTTTGGGTTACAGACTTATCTAAACAATGTACAGTATGAATTTGTATCTAAGCTATTAACCTACTTTGTTTAGTCCTGCGTCATGCTTATTCACTGAACAATGAGAGACCATGATTTCTTCTGTTCAGTACAATGTTTACTGGATGCTTCATTATGTACCTGTGTGGATTTTCATTCAAAAGAACATAGCAATATTCATGGTTTGCATTAGCCAAAATTCCAAACCCACACCTTCAGCAAGAACAACTTTTCATTGAGTTTGGAAGGGCTTCTACAGATGATTTTCTGCCCTTGTTCCCCCAGTTGCCACCTGGGTTATATAAAGGCTTATAGAATTTACTAATAATAATATTTATGAAAAATGTTCCTAATTTTGCAAAAGCCCATGTTCTAACAACTTTCAGATCTAACATTAACCTTTGATCATCCTGAAAATTACCTGGTATATATCGAGGTACAGACAGATACCTTTTGTCCTGTTTTTGTCTCTTTTTTTTTTCTTTTTACTTTAACATTATCTCTGCTGATTGACTAATTACATGTGTCAATTTTACAAACGTGACATTTGCATAATTTTTACCCTGTAGAAAATTTGGACTTTGTTGTGGTAGTTCTTCATTTTGTTGTTGAATCATTTAGATTGTAAAAAATAAAATAAAAAAAACATAAAAGGTAAAAAAAGTACGTGAAATAAATGAATATGTATTTGTACATATGTGTCATATTATTCCTGCCAAATCCCCTCACATAAAACATTTAGTTTCCCTGTTGAATGTTGACTGATAAATCATGTCTGTTGATCTATAGATTCACAAAAAATCCAAACACAAATAGTAGTTTCATTTTGTTAAGTTTTCTGAACCTCCATAGATGCAAGGCTGTCCTAGATCCTACAGATTTTAGAACCTTACTGTAGGTGTATGAAATACTTCAAATAAAATACAGATAGATTACTTTTATTGGGTAATTTCAAGACTGGGAGTTTGTTCTTTTATGAAAGTGTCTTAATTTTTTAAAAGCAGTAGAGTATAATAAGGTTTGTCCATGGTGAGGCCAAATCAATCAATTAATATTTTCAACTACCAAGAACCATGTCAATCTGTACAAATAATTTATAGAAATAATCTATACATAGTAATGGAGCCAGGAAAGAGAGGAAGGAATAAAAAGGCAAAATATATCACAGCAGATGTAGTGATTACACTTTTGACGATACAACTTCCGTTTAAATTTTTTGTGATTTTCTGATGCTGTTGTGCCAGTCTCCAACATTTAAAATGCACAACAGATAGTCAAAGCGGCCTTTAAAGAATATAAAAACTGACTTGAAAAAATTATTCTCTTTTATTTGTCTGATATTAAACTGATCCAGTGAGTTTTGCGATATTGACAAACACTGTTTTTTTCACAGTACTGTATATGTGTTTAAGTGTGACCTATTTGGATTATTAAAAAAACTCCACAGAATAATGAGACTGTCACTTAACCTAACTGAATGTCAGTATTTAGTGTGAGTAAACATTTTACCAGAATTGCCCACTGTCTTAATAACTATTTTAATAAACCTGCTGTTTTTTGGCTTAGAAATAGACATATTAGACTCAAATGTCTATTAAATGACTAAATAATCCTTTTCTGCAAATTGAAGGATCAGACATTTTGTATTGCATAATTATGCAGTCAGATGTCTAATACTTAATACTTTATTATGAATAATTCTAACAGTCCTATAAAACAGATTTTCATTTGTTTGAATTTACTCAAGAACAATACTGTGTGCATTTCTATCGTTTTTAAGAGGGGCATTGGGTTCCAGAGAATAATTCAGGTAAATTCAGGAACCCTGGGTTCCTTCAAAGAAAACAGAAACAAATTTAACTTCTTAGGCTAGGACTACCCATGTTCACACAGCTCATTTTGCCAAATTACATTAAAATCTGATCTTCCTGTAAGGAGGTTTTTACATCCATGTACCAAAGATGCTAGATCTAGAGCATACAAGCTTTACACACTAAAGACAAATCTAAAGTAACAATCCCCACCAAGTGATGTACTCATATGATGGGCAACCAACACTAACTTGCCTTCATTATTACCAAAAATCAGTCACTAATTGTATTCATGCTTACCAAATATTAGAGGATTTAAATATCATGATACATGCTATTACCTAGATATATTTCAAATTTTGACATTTGCGAAAAGCATTTTAATGGAGATAGTATTTGCTCTGCCTTAAAGATATAGAGGATGATCTTATATTTCCGGGTGGATTATCTAAACAAGTTGTCCTCCTAATAGTCAATCATTCTGGTGAAATATTTACATAAGGCCGTCCTACGTGCTTTTACCTAGTTAGCTATCTTTTTTCTGCACATGTGCACTTTCAGGCTTACAGTATAACTATGGTGAGCTACGGTGTCATCGAAGCTCACCTTTCTCACCGCAGTTCTTTGAAAATGGCTGAGGTTCATAAGAGAAAAAGTTTCCACGAAGTGTATAAGAAGAATAGGAAGACCTCACAGCGGCCCGCTGTCGCCATAGGCTGTCACTACCCGACGGCAGCGACTAATAACAAAGATGGCGCAGGCACTGCACAGTGGAAGAGGACCTACCTGAACAACGGGGAACAAAAAATAGTTATCAGCTGTCTGAACGGTAAGTTAACTGAGTTCCCTATATAATCCGCTGTATAGTCCCCCCTCTAGATAGTGATTGAGGGATTTAGGGGTTAGGGCGGATGTTCGGGCACAGTAAGCTCGTATGAGCTACAGTATGAGAACAGCAACTTTTAAACAGAGCGTGCACATGGAGAAATGGGCTTGTCCATGCCCTAACATGAGTTTAATAGACGTCCCTTCTCAGGAGTGGGTACATGGTTGTGCATGTGCATTTTTTTTTTAAAGTGGAGAGGGCCGGTCTTTTAAAAAATTAGCGAAAATCCTCCACAATACCTTTAATACTAATTGGTCTATTTTAATTGATTTTTGATCAGGCTTGTGTGTTTACATAGTATTTGAAGAACTTTCTCTACAGTATGGCCGCTGATTCTGACCATTTCTGTTCTCATACTAATGAGTAATGTACCAAAGCAGATGTGAGTCTCACCTTAAAGAGACTAATGCACTTTGTGTTAAATGGAAACGGCTTTGGCAAGAAGTGTACAGGAAACACTTCAATAACTGACTCATCTCTGTAATTATTCACAACCAATTAAAGGGGTCATTTACCCCAGTGATCAAGACTAAAATTATCCAGTTTCTGAAAGGTCAAACACTCTTAAGAACTTTTAATCATGAATAATCAAGTATAGTGGTTGAAAAATTGGAAAAATGGTTAAATGGAAATCTGCACTCTCCTTTTCATGTGTAATCTATGAAAACAGTCTTTGCCAATGATCATCTTAATACATCACATCTGGATTTCATTTTAGCACCTTTTTTCTGAGTTCTTAGGTAATGAATGTTTTATTGTTAAAAAAAATTAATAAATGACCATCTATCTAAACTCCTATATGTGTAATCGCAAAAAACAGAGGTGCACATTAAAACAAACTTTTAGAGTTTGAAAAAATTAAAACAGAATGGTATTCCCTAGCTAGTGCATCCTAACACCACATACAGATGCAGGAACATGCAATGGGATCACAGAGCTACGCAGGTTTATGTAAGTTTATGTAAGTAAATAAAAGCAATTATATATTAATCTCGCAATCTCATTTTGGCTTTGAGTTTCATTATACCATTACTTCAGACGGCATTGATGTGTAAATAGCCTTAAGACAGAATGGCGACCTGTTTTTTTTTTTTGCCAAAAGACTGCTGGAGAAAACGCACTGCCTGTTCTCCCGCTTATCCTGATGAATAAGCAGGAGAGAATGATGGATGGATGGATGGATGGATGGATGGATGGATGGATGGATGGATGGATGGATGGATGGATGGATGGATGGATGGATGGATGGATCAATATTTGCATATTTTATTGGCAAGGGCTTCAGGAAAATCCAATCTTTCTTGAGGTATTTATTTGTAAAATATGGAAGCTGTGCTTCAAAAGCTCAGATTGGTAAATCTGGCTTCATGCCACAAATCTCACCCTTATGAGAAAGAGCAAAAGAAGCTGTGAAAATTCAGTAGACACAAGTGTTGACAAAAGGTTTGTTGTTAATTCTTTCTAGAGCCAGACCCAGGGAGAAGAGATGCCTCAAAAACGTCCCTTATCTTTTTACGTCGATGAGCCAAAAATAGTTAACATTTTGTTCAACCTCACAGTGGAAATACGGCAGTAGATATTCTTGGACAAATACTGCTGCATCTGCATTTACATAAACCCAGAGTAGCTTCTGCCAAGGCAGAATGATAAGACTCTTTTACACTTTTCCTACACTCGATTGAAGCCACTGAGGACTAAAGAAGTAGTGTGTTTTGAGAGAGTTGGGCAACTAAAAACAATGGATAGTGCTTTAATAATGAAGTAAAGCTAAAAAACATGTACTTCACAATTTTTAGTCAGAGCTTCAAAAGCCTCCGCACATTTCTAAACCACTTACAAGATCAGAGGTGTTTTACTTTGCTTAGTAGTCCTGAGTCCTCTTTTCAGACTTAAGCAAAATGTGTTTTTCATCAGGAAATCAAGATCAAAGTCTGTAGGAAAAGTGGTGAGAATAGAATCATTGTTTCTGGAGCAGAGTGATTGGAATGCCATGACATCTTCTTTTTCTGGTTGGCTGTGCTTTCTGCAGCCCAAAATCCACATAGCCATATACTGGGATATTTAAGAGCACTCCATGCTTCTTTCTGCCTGCAAGCATTATGGAGATCCAGCCCACACTTCCAGAGGTAGGAGTATTCTGCTAAAATCACACCTATCACCATCAAACATGTGCAGTCTGAGCTCAACAAAAAAATCTACGGGCTGCTCTTGCAGGGAATAACACCTAAGAACACTTGCTTGCAGGTGCTGTACAGATAGGGGAAAAATTTCTAATTGAAAATATCATTGTCTAAGAATTTGCTGTAACCTAGACTGATTAACCACAAAAACAAAAAATTAGACACAAAACAAATATAAATCACTGACTGAAATAATTAACTTGTAAATTATCTTCTAATTTGTCAAAATACACCTGGTCTAGTGTTTTTGTTTCTTAATGATGAGAACAGTTGACAGCAGTTAACAGTTCCAACAACAGTTGCAGAAGAGCTCCTGTAAGTTTTCAGAGAATAATGGATTTACATACACTCACCGGCCACTTTATTAGGTACACCTTTCCAACTGCTCGTTAACACTTAATTTCTAAGCAGCCAATCACATGGCGGCAACTCAGTGCATTTAGGCATGTAGACATGGTCAAGACAATCTCCTGCAGTTCAAACCGAGCATCAATATGTGGAAGAAAGGTGATTTGAGTGACTTTGAACGTGGCATAATTGTTGGTGCCAGAAGGGCTGGTCTGAGTATTTCAGAAACTGCTGATCTACTGGGATTTTCACGCACAACCATCTCTAGGGTTTACAGAGAATGGTCCGAAAAAGAAAAAACATCCAGTGAGCGGCAGTTCTGTGGGCGGAAATGCCTTGTTAATGCCAGAGGTCAGAGGAGAATGGCCAGACTGGTTCGAGCTGATAGAAGGGCAACAGTGACTCAA